GAGGGCGAAGTGGGGAGTGTGGATTGGTGCATTGTGCAGCTGGCCGTCCCAAGTAAACTAGGGTTTAGGGTTTAGGGTTTAGGGTTTAGGGTTTAGGGTTTAGGGTTTGGGGTCTTAGCTGCTGCAGTTGCAGAAGCCGCTGCTGCTGCTGCTGCTGCTGCTGTGCCCCTTTTTTGCTGCAGCTATCATCTACGGCCTTGACATCCTCACAGCACAAGAGGAGGGGCCCCCAGAATTTGGGGCCCCCCTTCTTCGTTGAGGGTTTGCGGGCGAAGCCCGCAGTAGATGGAAGTCTAGATTTGATAGAATCTGACAGTAAGTAGGAAGCGGGGAAGGGTTTGGCGGTCACAAGGGTTTTCTAGGGTTTAGGGTTTAGGGTTTAGGGTTTAGGGTTTAGGGTTTAGGGTTTGGGGTTTTGGGTCGAGGCCGAGGCTTCCAGCAGCCGCCCTTGAAGTTGGCTGGCATCCTTAGGACTGAAACTGTGGCGAGAAGCCTCTTCTAATTCCCAGTGCTTCCCCGCTGCTGCGCTGCTGCTGCTGCTGCTGCTGCTGCTGCTGCTGCTGCTGCTGCTGCTGCAGCTCCGGGCTGGGTGACGGTGCTGGGCTGCGGCGAACACCTGCGGGCGGACCACAACTACTTTTCCGTGGACAGTGGGGGTTTGGCTTTGACTCATTTGCGGCTGGGAGTGCGGAGTCCCGCATTTGCTGCTGCTGCTGCTGCTGCTGCTGCTGCTGTGTCTCCGGTTTCCCCTGCCCGGGGTCCAGCAGCAGCAGCAGCAGCTGCTGCTGCTGCTGCGCCTTCCGCCTGCCTCCGCACGGCAGTGCTGCGTCTTCGGGTGTATGGACAGGTGGCTGTGGGGCCCCGCGACGCGGGGGCCCCGGGGCAGCTGCTGCTGCAGCAGCAGCAGCAGCTGCTGCTGCAGCAGCAGCAGCAGCCAGAGTGGCAGCAGCAGGGACTTCCCATCCAGCTGCAAGAAGTGACAAGTTTGCTGCAGGGTGCTGCTGTGCTCTCGGGGCCCTCTTCAGGTGTATGGACACCTCAGAACCGGCAGCAGCTGCTCATTAATAAAAGGTGACTTTAAATATTTTTATTTATTTTTATTTTTAGTTTTGCTCTTCTCTTTTGGCCTCGGGGGTTTTACTTTTCATTATAAACCCTAAACCCTACTGAGCCCTACTCCCCGGGCCTATGCCCCACCAAACCCTAAACCCTAAACCCTAGCCATTAAACATTTTGTTAGTTCTTAAATTGTCTCTGTTGCAGCTCCTTCGCCATTTCCGCATTTAATTTCTCCTCCAAGTGTCACTGAAGTTGTCCTGTGGCTGTTTGCTGCTGTTTGTCCGCAGCAGCAGCAGCAGCAGCAGCAGCAGCAGCAGGCAGCGGCGCAGCCGCAGCAGCAGCCGCAGCAGCAGCAGCAGCAGCAGCAAGGACCACACAGGGGCCCCAGAGGAAGCAGCAACTTGGCTGCTGCTGCTGAGCGGAAGTTCTGTTTTAAAAGAAGCTGAAGTGAAGCGATTTGCTGCTGAGGCGGAGGCAGGGGCAGAGCCTGCTGCTTTTGAAATACAAGCTGCCCAGGCCCCTGACGAGGTAAACCCTAATTTAGGGTTTAGGGTTTAGGGTTTGTGGCCCAGCATCCGGCGCAGCAGCGCCGAACTCTGTGGCTTCAGGGGTAGCGGTAGAATTCGCGGCCCCAGGCGTAGTTCCTAAGGCTCAGTCTTAGGCCTTGAGTTTAGGGTTTAGGGTTTAGGGTTTAGGGTTTAGGGTTTAGGGTTTAGGGTTTAGCAGTGCGTTGGCGCAGCTGGCAAGTCTGCTTCTGGCAAATTAATAGAAGTGGCAGATTCCGCTAGTGAATGTGTTGCAGAGAATGAGCTGCATTAGGGTTTAGGGTTTAGGGTTTGGGGTTGTTGCAGCTGGTTTGTTTTGTTTAGTATCAAAACCCCCGAGTTGCTGCTGCTGCTGCTGCTGCTGCTGCTGCTGCTGCTGCTGCTGCTGCTGCAGGTGCTGCGGCTGCCGCTCTGTGAACAGATCAAAAGAAGCGAAGAGCTGCAGGACCTCGACTGGCAGCTTTTGGGAAGTTTCACTTTTTCCGAAGGCCAGAACGAGCTCGCCTTGCCGGTAGGGTTTAGGGTTTAGGGTTTAGGGTTTAGGGTTTGGGGAGTTTGCAGCGCGTTTCAGTGGGCAGTTTCGGTTTCCTAGGTGTCTGCTGCTGCTGACGGGATGCAGCAGCAGCAGCAGCAGCAGCAGCAGCAGCAGCAGCAGCAGCAGCGAGCGCATGCATGCGCAAGTTGCTCGCGGGGCTGTTTGTGTTTTCGGGTGTACGTACAGCTCCGGGAGGGGCGGGCTGCGACGCACGTGCGACTCATTTCTTCCAAAAGAATTAAAATGAAAAGTTTTGTTTTGTGGGGTTTTCCTGCTGCTGGCTGTTGGGGTGTATAGACACCTCGCGGGCGCCGCGGCGCTGCTGCTTGGGGTGTACAGGCAGCTGCGCGCTGCTGCAGCGGCTGCTGCAGCAGCTGCTGCAGCGGCTGCTGCAGCGGCTGCTGCAGCGCGGCAGCAGCAGCAGCTCGCGTTTGAAACTCTTTTTCTTTTCGAAAAGACTTCTTTGGGACTTTAGAATGGAAATTGAGTTTCAAATAAAACAAAAACTTCTTTTTTGAGCTCCAAAGGCTCCGCCGGCGCCCCCGCGGCGGCCCGGCCTGGGGTGTACGTACACCTCAACTGGGGTGTACGTACACCTCAACTGGGGTGTACGTACACCTCAACTGCGCAAACAGGCGAGCGCCGCTCCCAAGTTTTTGTCATTTATTCTTTTCTGCATTTCATTTCCTGCCAAGGAAATGCCCTCCAAGGGGCCCAGGGGCAGCAGCAGCAGCAGCAGCAGCAGCAGCAGCAAATGTCCGTACACCTGGTGCTGCTGCTGCTGCTGCTGCAGCAGCTTGCTTTTGAAGTGCTGAAACTCCGGGGAATAAAAGATCAAAAGAATATAAATTTAATTAAAATCAAATTAGGCAAATAAAGACAGACAGAAAGTTCAAAAAGTACTACTCCGGGCCTTTGGCTGCCTCTTTGCTGCAGCAGTTCCTTAACTGCTGCCTGCCGCCTGGCTAGCTAGCTAGCCAGCAGCAGCTAGCTGTGTGTGGCTAGCCAGCTGCAGCTAGCTGCCTCTAGCTGGCCAGCCGCAGCTCGCTGGCCGCGGCTAGCCAGCTGCAGCTAGCTGGCTGCAGCTGGAGGTCTGCAGCTAGCTGGCCGCAGCTAGCTAGCTGGCTGCAGCTAGCTAGCTGGCCGCGGCCAGCTAGCTGCAGCTAGCTACCGCGGGGAGCTAGCCAGACACAGCCAGCTAGCCGCAGCTAGCTAGCTGGCTGCAGCGAGCTGGCCGTGGCCAGCTAGCCGCAGCACGCAGCTAGCTAGACACAGCTAGCTAGCCGCAGCTAGCTAAGCTTAGCTAGCTAGCTACAGAGAGCCAACTCCTCTAGCTTCAGTTGTGCGGGGGCCTTGGGGGCCCCGGGGGCCCCTGCTGCTTGCTGTGTGGGGTGGGCCCCTGCATGCAACTCTGGAGGCCCCCTAGGGGTACCCGGGGGCCCCCCGGGGGCCCCCGGGGGCCCCCCTTTAGGGTTTGGGGCCCCACAGGGGCAGCGGGGGGCCCCCGGGTGTCTTCTGCAGACCCCACGAGACGGGGCGGAGTTGCTGTTTTGCTGCAGCAGCAGCTGCTGCGGGATGTCCAGCAGCAAAAAGGGGGGAAAAGGGTTTAATTGATTTGTTTTTAACTTTTTAAAATTGCAAATTCAAAAAGATCTCATTTATTGTTGGGGCGCTGGTCCACTAGAGCCTCGACGTGACTCGGAGCGATGCACGAAGTGCTGCTGCTGGCTGGCGGCTGCTGCTGCTGCTGCTGCTGCTGCTGCTGCTGCAGCATCTGGTGCCTTTGGAAGCTTCCTTTTGGATTTGTATTCTAAAAGGCAGAAAGCTTTTGGAATTTTTGTTGATCTTGTGAATTGGTGGGTGTTAAGGGGCTGGGGCTTGTGTCGCTGAGTCGCAGCAGCCCTGCTGCTGCTGCTGCTGCTGCTGCTGCAGCAGCAGGAAGCTGAACAGAGTGGCCGCTGGCTCGGCGCTGCTTCGCTCGCTGCTGCGTCTGAGGGGAGTTGTTTTTCCTTTTCTTTTCGAAATTAAAATTGGGTTTATTTGTCTGTTGTTGTTTTTGTAAATTGGAAAGAGCTGCAGCAGGGGTTGCGGGAAGCAGCAGCGCAGCGCAGCAGTGCAGCAGCGCAGCACGTGTCTGTTTGTGCCGCAGCTGCAGCAGCTGCTGGCCTTTTCTTTATTTTTCGTTGACTTTTAAAACTTTATTTAATTCCATTAAGACAGCAAAGGCTTCTGTCTCTGCTAATTGAAACTTCTGACGGCTGCTGCCGCTCGCGCGCGCCCCAGCCGCCGCGCCAGGTGTCGAGACACCTGAAAGTTCCATTCTTCTCCTTCGCCCTCCGCCTCCGGCGCAGCACTTCAGATCATTTCTGTCTCTCTTTTCAAGCCACACGCGCGCCAACTGCTGCAGCAGCTGCTGCTGCTGCTGCTGCTGCTGCTGCTGCTGCTGCAGCTCCTCGAAGCCGCGCGGGCTGGCCCTAGCTGCAGCGCAGCAGCTTCAGCTTCCCTGGGGATGCTTTCTTTGGTGGCTTCCCTGGCTGCTGGGCTTCCGGTCATTTTGCTTTAGAAGGCGGCGCCCCCCTGCTGCTGCTGCTGCTGCTGCTGCTGCTGCTGCTTCTGCTGCTGCTGCTGCTGCTGCTGCTTCTGCTGCTGCTGCTGCAGTGTCGGGCAGGGGAGCCGCGCCCAGCAGCGCAGCTGCGTCGCCCGCGTTCCAGTCCCCCACGTGACCAGTGGTCTGCATGCAGCAGCAGCAGCAGCAGCAGCAGCAGGAGACCAGTGGTCAGCAGCAGCAAATGGCTGCAGCGCCCCCGGGCCCTGCCGGCGGGTGCGGCCGCCTCCAGCGGAGCCCCGCAGGGCTCTGCTGCTGCAGCAGCAACGCTGGGGAGCTGCTGCCAGCCTCTTCTGCTGCACAGACAGCAGCGCTTCCCGCAGCAGCAGCAGCAGCAGCAGCAGCAGCAGCAGCAGGTGGGTCCCGCTGCAGGGGCTCGTTGAAGATGTGGCCTGTGTGGGTGTTGGCGTTTGCTGCTGCTGCCCTCTGGATTCCCCGCGGAGCATTTGGCTCTGAGGACTCGGCGCAGGTAAGACTTGCTGCTGCTGCTGCTGCTGCTGCTGCTGCTGCTGCTGTTGCTGCTGCTGCTGCTGCTGCTTCCTACCCCACCCTGCCGCTGCTGCTGCTGCTGCTTCTGGTAGTGAGTGTTGCGGCTGTCTGCACCACCGTGGCCATTTGCAGCCGGAAAGGAGACTGGCGTGTGTGTGTGTGTGCTGCTGCTGCTGCTGCCGCTGCTGCTGCTGCTGCTGCTGCTGCAGCAGCTGCAGCAGCAGCTGCAGCGCGGGGGCGGGGACTTGGAAGGGGGCCCCTTGTTTGACTTTGCGGAGGACTTTTTCAGCCAAGTCCCTCCAGGGTCTCTTCCCCGCGAGCTGCCCACCAACAACGAAGTGGGCAAGCCCGTCCCCGCCATGAGTCCGCCAAACCCTAAACCCTAAACCCTAAACCCTAAACCCTAACCCCGCCCACACATCCCTCCCCTCCCTCCCGCTGCTGCTGCAGCTGCGCCCGAGGAGCTGAACGCGACTCTGGGGATCTTGTACGGCTCCTACTGCGCGCGTTTGAAGCGGGACTCCCGCTGGCAGCAGCAGTTCCTGCTGCTGTTCCTGAGCGCCCTCTACTGGCCCCTCTACGCCCGCGCCAAACACTGGCGGCCGCCGCTGACTTCAAATTTTTTCAAAGTCGTTTTGGCCAAGTCGGTGGCCTTGGGGGAGCTCGAGGGGCCCAACCAGCGCACCCGCAGATTCGTCCACAGGGCCAAACACTGCGGCTTCCAGGCCATCATCGAGGAGGGGGTTTGTGGCGCTTTGCTGCTGCTGCTGCTGCTGCTGCTGCTGCTGCTGCGGTGGTTGTTGCTGTGCTGCTGCTGTGGTTGGGGTGGTTGTGCTGCTGCTGTTGTGGTTGTTGTTGCGGTTATGCTGCTGTTGTGGTTGTTGTTGTGCTGCTGCTGTTGTTGTTATTGTTATGCTGCTGTTTTTGTTCTGCTGCTGCTGCTGCTGCTGCTGCTGCTGCTGCTGCTGGTGCTGCAGCTGCCGCGGCTGGTGGAGGTGACGGACTACGAGAGTTTCAACGCGCTGGTGAAGCGGGCGAAGAAGGCGGACCCGCACTTGGCGGAAATGCTGAAGTTCATTCCGGACTTGAAGTGGAGTCTCGACGACAGCACCACCACCATTGGCTACGTCTACCACCAAATCTCCGAACTCCACGTCCTCTACTCCTACTCCAACAGTCCGCCCATTTATCCCAGTTTTCGGGTGTACAGACACCCCACTTGTGGCCTGTTTTCCGGTGTACAGACACCCCAGTTGTGCCCAGTTCTGGGGTGTACAGACACCCCAGTTGTGCCCAGTTTTGAGGTGTACAGACAACCCAGTTGGGCCAGTTTTCGGGTGTACAGACACCCCAGATGTGGCCAGTACAGACACCCCAGATGTGGCCAGTGTTCGGGTGTACAGACAGCCAGTGGAGTCGTGTGCAGTGTCTGGGGTGTATGTACAACACAACCTGGAGTTGCATGCGCATGCTTAGTGTGTGTTGTGCAATTCATCCCCAATTTATTCGAATTTATTCGAATTTATTCGAATTTATTCGAATTTATTCGAATTTATTCCAATTTATTCGAATTTATTGCCGTTTGTTGCGTGCAGTCCTGTCAGTATGGAACTGGATGAGCATATGGGAGCGGAGTTTCCGCCAAGAGCAGCGTTCTGCGACAAGTTCAGTAATGCTGTTGGCTTTGACGAACTCCGAAGTGACTGACAGGCCCATGGGGGGCATTTTGGTGTTGAAGTTGAGTCGGTTGGTGGCTGGGGATTTGCTGCAGCAGCTGCGGGGGAAGAGCGAAGACGACCCGTCGTTGGAGGCGGAGTTGAGTCGTTTTGAAAAGGCCCTCAAAGAGGCCATTTTGGAAAGTGTTCGCCAAGTTTTGATCCGAATGGCTCTTTTAATAGAGTCCAACTGGCTGTGTTCTGAAGAACTCTTAAAGGCCCAGTTCCCAGATGTGCTGGTCACTGCCTACAGAGCCAGAGGCAGCGGCGGGCCGGGGGCTGTAGTTGAACGCGGGGAATTCGGAAGTGAAATATCTGAGGGGGTGGTGTTGGTGTTGAACCAGAACTTGCATGCGAACGAGATGTACGTACAGCTGAGCGTAGCGGATCCGATCACTCCTCAAAAACCCTCTTCGGGATTCATTTCTGCTTTAAAAGCCGCCAGTATGTTCAAACAAAGACTCGAAGATGATCCTTCTCTCCCCGGAGTTGGACTTGCCGAAGTTGTTTACTCCACCTTCAACGACCTCCAATACGCAGAAGTCGCCGGAGGCAGCGGCGCCAGATTCGACCCCGACTTGCACTTGCTGCTCCAGGTGCAGCAGCAGCAGCAGCAGCAAACTAATAATCAATCAAATTAATTCAAGTTTTTAATTTATATTTTCCACTTTTCTCAAGTTTGTTTCAAATTATTCTTTTGTTCTTCTTCGAAATTTGCAGCTCTTGTTGTTTTTTTTAAATAAACAACAATTGTGGACTTGTTTGAAATATTTCTTTAAACAACAATTGTGGACTTGTTTTTCATGTCTTTTGAAAATAAGCGAGACTTGTGGATTTGTTTTTCTTCTTTTTTTTAAATAAACAACAATTGTGGACTTGTTTTTCGTATTTTTTGAAGTAAACAGCAATTGTGGGGTCACATTTTTCGAAATGAACAACGATTGTGGACTTGTTTTTCATATTCCTTTAAACAAACAATAATTGTGGACTTGTTTTTCATATTTCTCGAAGTAAACAGCAATTGTGGACTTGTTTTTCATATTTTTTAAAATAAACAACAATTGTGGACTTGTTTTTCGTATTTTTTTCAAATAACCAGCAATATTGGGCTTGTTTTTCGTATTTTTTCAACTAAACAGCAACATTGGACTTCCATTCCCAGCATTTTGAATCCACGAAGCTGTCCTGTCTTATTTATTTGTCTCAGGTGCCTTCTGAGCACTTCAAAGACGCTGCATCTTTCCACGACTTATTCATGGGGGCCATCCTGGTGCAGCCTCTGACCTTCGCAGCCCCCCGCCACGTCCGCCCCGACAGAGTGCGGGTAATGGGCTACGCAGTGAAGGCCGCGGGGGCCCCCCGGCCCATTCGCATGGGCAAGTTCGGGGGGGGCCTCGCCTACAGCGAGCAGGCCTTGGTAGACAGGCTGATTCAGCGGCACGGCTTTTTGGTGCACGTTTTGCTGCTGGGGCTGCGCAGCGACTTCGCCCGCAGGGACTCCGAGGCCACGGCCGAGGAGATCTACAAACGATTTCGCAGCAGAACCAGGGGCACCATCAACGTCGTCTTCATCGAACCCATCAAACCCCCCGAAGTCCGACCTGCTGCTGCTGCTGCTGCTGCTGCTGCTGCTGCTGCTGCTGCTGCTGCTGCTGCTGCTGCTGCTGCT